ATAGATAGATAGATAGATAGATAGATAGATAGATAGATAGATAGATAATTTAGTGTTTAATATATGCCAGGCACAGTGCTAAGCACTAAGAACACAAATATAAGCTAACAAGATAGTTCCTATTGTGAAGGAGTTTACATTAAGCAAATCAACACATAAAGGGAAACTGGAAGAGGGATGCTATCCTCAAGTGGCCAAAAAAGCTGGTGGAAAAGGAGAAGAAGTCAAGAGAGTGGCTTGAAGCATGAGTGAGGTGAAGCATTCTGGAGGTCAATCCTGAAACAATAATACCAATGAGGTAGCTGCCCATCAGGAGAGGAAGACCTCAGAATGAAGTTTTATCTAGGGTAGACAGCTGGTAAGAAGGAAAAAAGTCCACAGAATGATTCAAGGTGTAACTTTGAATCTCTAATATAGAACAAGACTACCTAACACTTTAACAGCAACAACTTTACCCCCTTATTGGCCTTCTGGTTGTGAACATCTCCAAGCTTAGCTGGAGCTTGCACAGCAGATGTGAATTCCATCATTAGGCCCACACTCAAAAGCTTTTTCTGTTTAGTAGGTGGGGAACCTGGGGCCTCAAGGCCACATGTGGCCCTCTAGGTCCTCAAGTGTGGCCCTTTGAGTAAATCCAAACTTCACAGTGGTCCTTTGACTTTAAGTTTGAATTCAGTCAAAGGATTGGATTTAGTTGAATCCAAAAGAACTTGGACTGTTCCAATGTGTTTTTTGAGAACCAAGGCTCACTTAGAAGCTATTTGTCATGAGGCATCAGAGTAGAATTTTAGGGAAGATAATTTACTATTAAAGGAAGGAAACAAGAGAGGGCAAAAGACGCTCATTTAGAAAGTATTCCTTTCTGAGGGATCTGAGGCAAAATTTTGTCCATTTTGTCCATTTTTTTGTTCGTCCATATTTGTTTTCTGCTTAGATTCCTGTTTGTTCACAGATTGTCTGAGTCCAGGTCTAGGAACCTGATCAGAGAGTTCTATTTTTCAAACAGTTGAGAAATTAACATGAGCCTTGCTTAAGGGTAATATTTATTGTTTTTGTTCTGAACATGGCTAATTTGTATGTCTGTTTTAAATTCAGGACTTGGCCTTTCATTATCAAGAGTCCTAAGCAATATAAAAACTTATCTTTCATGGATGCGATGAACAAGTTTAAATGGTCCAAAAAAGATGGCATCTCCTTCAATAAACTTGTCCTTGGGCTGCCTGTGAATGTGAGATGTTCCAAGACAGACAATGCAGAGTGGTCGGTAAGCCTTTCCCTATTTTCATTAAATGAAGCATAAGCAAGGTATCTACAAATGAAGTGCCTAATGAGAAGTAAAGATACTGCTTTATTGGGAAGAGGGGGTGCTCAGTGATAAAGGAAGAAACATTTCCAAATGCTGACCTCTACTTTGAGCTCCAGTCTAAAATCTGTAATTCCCTCCTGGGTAGTAGATATCCCAATATCTACTTAAATGCAGCATATGAATCCATTAGAATATAAACTACTTCAGGGCAGAGACTATCATTTACTTATTCTTGTATCTCCCATCTCTTAGCAAATGTTCCTGGCACATAGTAAGCAGTTAATAAATATTTATTGATTGTTTAACTGCTGTTAAGAAACATTCCTTATTATGCCCTATCAAAAAGAATCCTTCCTGATTTCTCTATTTCTGTCAGTGATATTTTCATTTTACTAGTTACCTAGGTGCAAAGTCTAAGTCAGAAATGAATCTTCCTTCTCCCTCCCAACACATCAAGATTATCACCAAATCTCCATCGATTCAATACTAACTCATATTTATATAGCACTTTAACATTTACAAAGCACTTTTCTGATAACTGCCCTATGACCTAAATAATGGATCATACTTACTGTAAAGGTGAGAAAACTGACAAGTTAAAATAGTCAGACAATAAGTATCGGAGCCCAGAGTTGCACCTAAATCTAGTGCTCTTTCACTATGCTGAATGAATGCAAGTACAGAAACAAATGGCAAGATTATTTATAAATTCCTTTTTTATTTATATTTCATCTTTTGGAAACCGTTTGTATCTTTTGTCTACTTGTTTAATGGGAATGACACATATTTGTATCAATTTCCTATATATCTTTTATATCAGACCTTTAACAGAAACATTTTGTGTGAAGGTTTTTCCCAGTCGATAATTTCTCTTCTATACTCTGGTTATGAATTCTCCAAACAATAGGCAAAAGTAGCACTTCATTTTTACCAGTATCCTAGTTGTTTTTTTTTAAATGATGTATCCATTTAGATTAAATATATGTCAGGTTGTAACTTGTTTTGGTATATGGCATAAGATGTTGGTCTAAACCTAATTTCTGCCAAATTGCTTTCTAGTTTCCTACACATTCTAGAAGATAAGGTACCCTTTCTTCAGTGGTTCATGTACTTTAGTTTATCAGTCTCTGGGTTATTATGTTTAATTGCTTCTAGATCTTGTTGATAGAATCTCTTCCATTTATCTAATTTTATTTTTTAAAGTACAAGATAGAAATAGTTTTGGTAATTACTGATTTATGATCTAGTCTGAAATCTGGTAATGCTAGGCTCCCTTCATTTCTGCTTTGTTTTAGTATTTCATTTCAGATTTTTGAACTTTAATTCCTCTAAATAAAATTTTAATTATTTTTATTTCTTCTTGGCAGTAGGATAAAGCACTAAATCTACACATTAATTTAGATAATATCATCTTTTTCTCTGCAATATTCTCTAAGAAGTTTCTTCCTTTTTGTTTGCAAAGAATGATTTGCAAATGTATTTATGAAAAAGGCAGTTAGGTGGCACAGTGGATAGACTCATCTTCCTGAGTCCAATTCTGGCCTCAATTACTAGATGTGTGACCTTGGGCAAGTTACTTAACCCTGTATGCCTCAGTTTCCTCATCTGTAAAATTAGCTGGCAAAGGAAACGGCAAACCATTCTACTATCCTTGCCAAGAAAACTCCAAATGGAGTCACAAAGAGTTGGACACAACTGAATGATTAAACAACAGTTTATGCAAACCCTAAATGTTAACTGATAGCATAATTCCTAGCTTTTTTATGGATTTTAAAATTATTTTGAATAGTTCACTTTTTGTTTTCTCCTTTACCTAGATTATTATAATAACTTCCTGATTATTCTCCTTTCCTCTAGGTCTCTTTCTTCATCATTCCATACTGTACATAATCATTAAATTACTCTCTCTAAAATATTGTTTTACACAACCTTCAATAACTCCCTATTATCTAAAGACAACACTCCTGAACCTGGTAATTAAGTTTTACATAATCTGACTCACACCTGTTTCTATTGTCTGATTGCCTATCCTTAACCAAACCCTACACTAATGCCAAACTTGTTCATTTATTATCCCCTGAAGATGCCATGTTCAATATCACCTTATGCTTATGCTATTCACTTGCCTGGAATGCCCTCCCTCTTCCTCTCTACTTAGCTCAATCCTACCTTTCTTTTTTGCCATCTTCCCCTGCTCCCTTCAAGTTCAACCTTCTTTATGAATAATAGAATCTTATAGACTTATGGATGTTAAAATTGGAAAGACCTTCAGAGGTCAATTAGTTCTCCCCCTACCTGAAGCATGAATTCTATCACTTTATCTTCAACAAATAGTTACCCAAACTCTACTCAATCATCTCAATCATGATTAACCTTCTATCTCCCAAGCAGCCCATTGCATTTGGGGACTACTTTCATCCTTAAGTTCTTTTTTTAATATTGAGCTGAAAACTACCAACTCCTTTCTGGGCAGCTATGGTGCTTATTGTCTATATCACATATATATCTCTTTAAATCAAAGACCTTAGAACATTAGCTATCATTGTATGTAAATGTTCTCTTTCCCATTTATTTCCTAAGCTACTTGAGTGTAATATGAGCTAGAGAAGGAAATGGCAAACCACTCCAGTATCTTTGCCACGAAAATCCCAGATGGAGGCAAGGAGGGTCAGACATGACTGAAACAACTCAACAGCAACAACAACTTGAGGGTAGAGACAGAGGACTGATAATACCTTATGCCTAGTTGATGCTCAATCTGTATTTTTTCATTGGTTAGAAACTTTAATTCTCCATATTACATGGGACAGTTTTTTATCTCCCAACTTTGGACTTGATGGAGAAGGTGGAAACAAGGAGTGAAGAAATTCTAAGACTAGAGTTGACATCTGTGTTTATCCAAAGCTATAGTTAACACTCTTCTTGACTTTTTATCATCCCTGGCCAGTTGCTTTCTTCTAGCTAGTCACTAGCCAGCATGTAAGACTGGAAAGAACTCTTACTATAAAGTCACAGGATCTAGGTTCAAACTCTTCCTCTACTACTCCTTTGGGGTAAGTCATTTAACTGCCTGGACCTTAATTTCTTCATCAGTAAAATTAAAGGGTTTGATTAGAATCTTATGAGTTTGAAAAAATATGACCATTAATCATATTTCATGAAAGACATGCTCATTTTTATTTGTTTAATTTCAGATTCAAGGAATGACAGCATTGCCTCCAGAAGTTGAAAGACCATATAAACCAGAGCCATTTGTGTGTGGATCTTCCTCCTCTTCCTCCTCCTCTTCCTCCTCTTCTTCTTCCTCCTCTTCCTCTTCTACCTCCTCTTTATACCCAAATTTTGTTCTCCAGATGACTGTTTCCTTTCTTATCTTCAGTAACACAGTGAGCATCAGGCATTTTTCATAATAATTTGATGATATTTGGTGATGTTCTCTATGCCAAGCAAGCACAGAATATGTTTGCACTCTCATTTCCCCTGGTCAAAGAGCAATTAAGATGAAGGCACAGGTCATAGACTAGTTGGAAGTCATCTCCTTCTTTCCCCTCTCCTGGTCACTTTTCTTAGGATACAGACTTCTCCTATCTTCACCTAGCTCATTTAGAACACTAATTAGCCAACTTCTACTTTTCCAGAGATATCAAATTCTATATAAGGATGTTCAGTGAAATGAACACTCCATGAAATAAAATCTTTCTTTGGGGATAAGGAAAAGATGGGACAATTGTGCATTTTGATTCCCCTTCTTTAAAAAAATATTGACTATTTTGCTTAATTTCTGCTTTTTAATATACTTTGGATTTTCTCTTCTGTATTTTGGAAAAAAAGTTATCTAAAAAAATGAGGAAAGCTCCATTCCACTTTTCTTCCTTTTTCTTGTTCTTTGAGTTTACCTTATTATTATTATCCTGTCTTTCTCTTTCAACTGTGATGTTTGTCCTTTTATCTAAGCATGCCTGTGTCCCTTTTTTTGTTTGATTCTTCACTATTTTTTTCATTACCCCCAACTATTGCAAAGCTACCACTACATTAAGTCCCCTTCCTTTAAGGGCCTGACTGCACCCTTCACTTTTCTTTCAGTTCTCCTTTTAAGATTTCACAATCCCCAACCCCACAGCTCTGCTTTTGCCTTCCTCACTCACCTGTTGCTGAGTTTTGCCTTGAGTGCTCTGATCACCTATACAGACTCTGGAGCCTTAAGGATACAGAATAGAAGATTGGTTGTAGAGCCACAGAGGAAAAGGTTTTCTCGGCTTGCTGATGGCCAGTGGTTGAAGCCCTTTACGTTGGTTCCTTATCAGAGGCAGAGTGTTTTGACCTGCACAGATGAGAGGCAAGTAAGAGTGAGAAAACCATATAGCCTGCTGCCAAAACAGTGCTGGTATGTCACACTTACTGACTACTAGCTGAATTTGAGCCCTAGTTGCTCTTGTAGATTTATTTTTATATGCATAATTAATAAACTAATTTTCCTTAATAAAACCAGTTATCACTTTAAAAAAGATCCATTGGTCCCTCTGTTTCTAGCATATACCCATTATAGCACTCATGTTACATGATTAAGGTTGCTTTCTGTACAGTTCAGATACATTTCCACATTTTCAAAATAGTTTTATGTTAGAATGACATTAATAAACTAAATGGAATTAAATCTGCCTGTGGTATCTCGTTCTCTCCTTGAGATGTGCACGTGATTCAAGTTCTTCTGTTACTAGCCTAGTCAATTGCATATGTTGCTTTGTTGATGCCATTTTAGAGCTGGTTTTCTTCTGGAAAACAATGTCATATAAAGTCGTTAATATAGATAACGTTTTGAAATATTTCCTTCATACACTTGCAATAAATCATTTGATTAAAATTCTGTAATGTTTGTAAAATATATTGTTACTGGTATTTACTTTTTCCTTTTATAAACTTTTATAATCTATCTGATTCTACAATTTTCCATGAGAATTTTCTTTATGGGAAATATGCTATTGCCTATACAACTTCATAAAATACTCAATTCGACTCTACAAGCCTATGGGAACTCTTCTTAGCTCAACCTCACTCAGTCCCCACTTCCTGACAGGGGTGTGCTAGAGCCAGCTCCTACCTGGATCACCAATTGTTAATTTTTTTGATGTGAGCATTTATACCTCAGAGATCAGCAAATGCTACAAATCAGAGCTTGGCTTATTATTTTCTTGATTGTCTAGACTTAAGAAAGTATTGGAGAAAATATTGATGATGAAGATAAAATACAAAAGTATATTGTGTGTACATTTTTTGGGAAAACCAATTGTGAACCATTTACCAATATACCCCTGCCTCAGGGTTTCCCAGCGACACCATCAGTAAAGGCCACTGATTCATTTATCCTGGTTTTGGAAACAGACTCTGTTAGTCTGGCATGTGTCAAGGTATGTCCAGCAAGAAGTTATTGGGCTCATTTGCTGCAATAAGAACCAGATGAGGGCAGTCAAACCTAAAACATTAGACCTTTTTATTTGCCAATTTTAAAGGAAAATCACTTGATACCTTATACCCCCATTCTCAGAGAGTACAAAGGAAGAATCAGACTGCAACAAAGGAAGAGTAATGTGATAGCATTTCCATGCCCTTCCCTGAACAGGCTCAGAAGTTGAGGTAATAAGGGGAACCCACCAACCTCTATATTGGGGCTAGGATCAACACCTTTAAAATGGGATGATAAAAGGCAAGAAAGGGATAAAATCAGGGATGATACCAGAGAGCCTTGACTCGATGATCTTTTAAGGAGGAGGGAGTCCACAATGGTCTCATAAAAAGTTTTTTTTTGTTCTTTGTTTTTTTTCCCCAGGATTTAGCAGTTCATTATGCCAAACTCTTGCCATTCAGGGGTTGAGTTACTGGGTCTGTCTCTACTCCAAGTGTCAGGACAGCTCAAGAGGGCCAGGTGTTTTGTAGGGAAGGGCAGGGTCTACTTAGGCCTATTTGGCCTCTTATTCCTGAAGCTAATGGTAGGGAGGTACCTGCCATTTTTTTCAGGAAACTGGAAGTTTCTAGCCTATGAGATTTCAGAAATAGAAGATTCCAAATATGAGTTTTAGAAAAGGGGTTTGGCAGCACCAGGCAGGAGAAAGGTGGCATCTGATGACAGCCTGTCATCAAAAAAGCTAGTCATACTCTCCTCCCTCCAACTAGCCATTTTTCCATTCTAAAACAGAAATTTCCCCCGGAAAATACTTGAAAGGCTTATTTTTATGGAGGCCAGGTGTTTTTACTTTCAATTGAATGGGTTCTACTCTGCTCACTTATCAGTGCAGAATAAACTATGCTACCAAAAAGAATCTACATTGGTATATGTGTTTCTTTACAATGAAAGAGTTCTTTCATTGGGATTGAGGTAAATTGTTTTTGCTTAATACAAAATACTCCATTTACATAAGTAAGATGATGTCTCCAAAGATTAAAACATGGAATGTCAGAACAAGAAGGGATCTTCTAAGAAAACAGCATCATGTAGGAGAAAGAACACTGAACTTGGAGTTGGCAGGACCTGGGTTTGAATCCTCACTGTGACTCTTACTGTATAACTATGGGAAAGTAACAGACTCCTTGAGCTCAGCTTCCTCATTTTGGGGTAAGCACTTTAAAAATCTTAGTGCTTTAAAAAAGTGAGTTATTATCACGGATTTTTTTGTCAACTGTTAAGATTGTGTAGTTATCCTTATGATATAGTCAGAGTTCATGTAAGGCTCTTAGCTTCACTCCAAGCATCCCCACTTGTTTGGCAGGTGCCTTACCTCCCAGTTATATCCAGGATGTGGGAATGTTGACTTCTCTATATACTGCCATAAGAAAGCAGAGGTAAGAACATGCCTCAGAGCCACATTCTCAGCAAAGGGGGAAGTTGATTTGTTGTTTTTTGTCATTCAGTCATTTCAGTTGAGTTCAAATTTTTGTGACTCCATTTGGGGTTTTCTTGGCAAAGATACTAGTTTGTCTTTTCCTTCTCCAGTTCATTTTGCAGATAAGAAAACTGAGCCAAATAAGGTTAAATGACTTGCCCAGGATCACACAGCTAGTAAGTTTCTGAGGCTGGATTTGAACTCGAGTCTTCCTGATTCCAAGTCCAGCACTTTTATCTACTTGTACCACCTAGCTGGGGTCACAAAGAGTTGGATATGACTAAACAAAAATTTGTTTAGCCCAGAATTAATTCACAACATTGGTGCCTTCCTCTCCTAATTTGACCCATAAATTCAATTAAACAAACATTTAAGCTCCCGCTCTGTGCCAAGTAACTATGTAGGGAGTCAGCATAAAGGAACCCCCAAAATGATTCTTTGGTGAAGGCAAACCAGGCCATCTTTTGTCTTAATTCTTATCTAGCCTTTAATTATTGAATGGGCATTTTCTCAGACAAACTGAGACCTGGGAAAAACCTTAGCTTTAAAAAGCCATGGTCTCCTACTGTATCTAGGGCCATCACTGGTCATCCTGACCTGCATCTTGCCATATTTGGAGAAAAATACTAAAAGTTCTCTTTCAGACAAGTTGAATTTGAAGTGTCGATGGAACATCTCAATGATCGATAGGTGACTGATTATAGAGGAATGGGAATCAGAAAGAAAATTATAGCTATATATAAATTTTGGAGTCATCTACATAAAGATGATAACTGAACTCATGGGAGCTGATAAAAATCACTAAAGATAGGAGTGTAAAAAAAGAAAATAGAGCCCACAATAGACCCTTAGGGGATGGCCATATTTAGTGGGTAGGAGAAAAATAATGATCTGGCAAAAAAAAAAAAGACCAAGAAGAGGTCAAACAGGTAGGAAGAGAATCAAGAGATGACAACTGGAGGATTGCTCTGGGACAAAACTGTGGACCTCTTAGGCTAGATGACTATAAAAAATAGCTTTTAGGAGCCTGTCAGGGAGGCAAGAACATTGTGTTCATGTCTCTGTCCCTTGGGCAAATGGTGTCCTTAAGCTATACTAGGTGCTCCCCAGGGAATAGGAAGGGTCAATAAAGAATAAGGCCACTGCAATCAACCTACTTAACTACTGGTGAGGTTGCTTAATTTCTTATAAGTAATTGTTCTGATAAGTGCATTTGTAAATTTACACATAACAAGTCATTGCTATGGGAACTACTTCTCCTTTGCCAGTATTCCAGGCCCACAACTCTATCTGCTATACCACCTATCTGCCTCCTAACATAGGGGTAGTAAAGGGTACAATCAGTGACATAGAAAAATTCCTACCATGGGAGAAATGCTGCTACTGTTTCCATCTCTTTAAATTGGTATTTGTAAACAGATAAAAGGGGGACAGGGGCAAGATCTGCAAGCCAATAATATAGAAACTGTTAAGAAGAGGGAACTTAAAACAGGAACCTTAGAAGCTTCAATTCCATGAGGAATACAGAGATGAAAGAGAGAATAATTAAATATAACTAGCATTAATCAAAGAATGAAAGACTAGAATAAACAGGGAAGAGACTGAGTAGAAAAGTTGTGCAGTGAATTCAGCTCATCATTTCCTATTCTGCTACTTTCATGGACTTCATGATTTCCAGAAATTCTTCATTCTGTGCAAGATGAAATCAACTCTGAAACCCTCATTTCCTTAGATCATTTCCCATCCTACTTACAGGACTTCACCATGCTTTCTTCTTACTTATCCACCCCTTTTCAGCTTCGTTTTTTATGTGTTATCTTCCTCATTAGATTGTGAGCTTGTTGAGGGCAAGGACTGTCTTATGCCTTTCTTTGTATCCCCAGGGCTTAACACAGAACCTGGTACATAGTAGGTGCTTAATCAATGTTGTT